CCCTATAACCATTAACCTGCTGTTGACATTCCCTCTAAGATGAATACACGCATCGGTTGAATCTCATATGTACCGCATAATACTTATGAATTTTGTGAATTGGCCGATCTTTCATACTCCAAGATAAGCGATCCCAAAAACCATCAAACCCTAGTGTATCTTTCTTTAACTACTCTCCACTTGTCTCATGAAGATAATCAAGTACCTCAGCCTAAAATCCTTAGCAATTCTTTATGCGATGAAGAAAGTCCAACAACCATGGTAACTCTGTATTGCAGCATTGTTCAAAGAGGTTGTGACGAATGAGGGTGTTTGTGAAGCAATCCAACACACCCTCTTTCGTCACCCTGCCATATAAATCCTAGCTAGAAAGTAACCCTACTGTATATTGATCAAAAGAAATAACTTCTATGAGAACTGGTTGAAGATTAATCTGTAGAGCCTTCGCATATAGCTTATAGATTACATTGAGAAGGGTAATTGGCCTCTAATTTGTTAGGCTTGTCTTTTGTCCACTTTTAAACGACAAAGAAATGAACCCTCTTGTGACATCCTTGGGAAAATGTTTATTCCGAATAGCTTCAATTATCATGGCAAAGTAATCCCTTTTAATGACATCCCATAAGGTTTTAAAGAATTCAGTAATTACACCATCTAAGCTTGATGCTTTATTGGAGGATATCTCTTTTAGGGCTGCTTCTAATTCCAGCATTGAGGCTGGGGCATTTAACATAGCTCTCATGTCTTTAGATAGACACGGGTTTACACAATTCAGGCAGCGGATTGTAACTGTGGTAGCTTTGGACGAGGAGGAACTGAAGTGTATAGCTAAGAGTAGAACTGAGAGCACAGAGCCTCTAAGCCCACTTGGTTAGAATGGAGGACCCTGGTTTTGTCCTCAAGCGAGATGATGACCAATGATCCTGAGCGCTCTCGGATCACTCTGAAGAATTCTTTTGTAATAAAATCTCTCAGCTTTTTCCATTTGATGCGGCTACAGATCCGACGACCTTTAGCCTTTCTCTGCTCTATCTATTGTAGAAGATCCGCCACCGCGCCCAAGTTACCTCATAGATTCGGATTCCGCAGGTCTACCTGAAGAGCGGTCTTCGCTTGCGACAATCCACTTTGTCAGTGTGTCTCTAATTGACGGAGGTGATACGCTCTTTGCACACAATAGCTTCAATAAAATTTGATTAACAATTGGAGTTTCTATACAAAGCCGCTTTGAGGATGGGTGAGCCAGATTTGCTCGACCCAACGCCGTACCACCTCATCGTTAAAATACAGACCGTTCATCTTGAAAGAGGAGAACTACCGCAACATATCGAAGAGCTGAACTGTGCATCTCACTGACAAGTGGTTGGTATGGGAATAATCACTTCGGATAAAATATTCAACTACCGGACTGACCCTTGCACTGTCCGTCCTGAATGCGTAAAATCTAAGTGTGGCTAGAATTCTTACGCCATCCTGCCAGCGGTTATCCCACAAAGACCACAGTCTGTTCACTGCCGAAAACTTATCCTCTATATGTAGTATTTTAGTGAGGGACAAGAAAAACTACTTTTCTTCATTTACTAGCAATTTGCCGCATATTGTGGACTTGTCGCGGCGCTTGTCAACAAAATTATAATCCCCGCATAGGAGACAGCGGAAATTTCGGGGGAGGGTGGCCACTAGCTCCACTCATAGCACGCATCTCTCGGACGTTGGAGTAGATGCATAAATATTCATAATTGAAACGTCACCCATGGGGACTCCCCCAAGCTTAACCTACACGGCTCGGCCACAGCGGGAGCAGCTGAAGTCAACGATAAGATGGTGCAGGCGAGGAGCAACCTACATGCACACCTTGCCTTTATCTGCACCCACCTCTTAGCAATCATGGTTGTAGCCCACAACGGCTTCTCGCCCACAGAACCAGGCATGAGGCCAGATTGTAACTTTCAGTTTGAGTAGTCATACACCTCGGAGGCAGAGCTACTGAAAACATAATATATCTGATTTGTACTGCAGTGGTTGATAGTAGTTCCTGACAACATCGACCTTGTCAGGGTCATTGAGGCCCTTTAAATTGTGGATTATCTTTATGATTTGGATTTACGGAGGTGGGGAGGGGAGGAGGAGGGAGGAACAATTGGATACTCCTCGGACTCCCAGTATAGCCTTCCTGAGGTATTCGGCGGTCCTACAAAAGCATGTTCCATTGTTGTCATGAGAGGGCCAAAATGTCTTGTCTTCGGAGAAGCTGATGTTTTGTAAGATGTCTTGGTTGTGGCGTGAGAAAACCTCTATTTGTTTCTAGAATATTCATGTTTTTAAGCCAGTGGAAGAATTGCGCGTGAAGGATCTCCAGGACGCCTTCAGCCTTCCCGATAGGGATTCTAAGGGTGGAGGCTTCCAAATGGGGGGTGTGGCAGCTGGTAGTATTGATATGCAACCTTGGAGGGTACATGGTTGACAACTCTCTGAAACTACTAGCAAAAATAGACTGAGATTGTGTTGCCACACCATTCAAGTCAAACCTGGGTCTCAAAAGATGGCTTATAATGTTTGTCGTGGAAAGCAACACATTTAGATTGTTGACTGGTGGAAGGGCCATTGGATTTTCCGGTACTGAGGAGTTGATGGTGATCAGAGCTTGAGAGAGACTCAGGTGCTCTAGTCCACCACTAGAGGTGGTCACGGGATCACCATGAATGAGACGATGAGCGTGTTCTATGTTGGGGGCCTGATGACGCCATGGGCATCTCCGGATTTGAATTGAGAGGGGGGGGGGAGGCAGGTATTATTGCAACTCCATTCTTTAGTTCGCATATTCCATCTAGCCTCGTAGTCACATGGGGTGGTAATGTCGTAGGAGGGTGTACGCGCTCGGGTATGGGCTGGGGGATAGGGCCTCACGTTGTAAAGCAGGCTTGAGGGAGGGGGCCTTTAATTCAGACTGGGCCTACTCGACTTGGCCCTCCAACGGTGTAAAGGACCATTCTATGCTTCTCTCATGGCCGTTTATTACTGGGGAGGGGACTTGTGAGCCATGCTTCTTGATTGTCATTAAAGTAGATACTCTACTACTGATCGCTGGAGGAGAGGAAGAAGAAGTCACTTGTAGACTATCATTTACTCGAGGAGGGGGGGATTGTGGGACAAATGATTAATCAAAGCCCATTGTTGTCCCCTCCTCTCTCTGCGGGTTTTCTGCACCATTGCTCACGGAATGCTTAAAGTGACGGCGTTACTTTGCTGTTGTTTGAGTCCTCTCCTCGTGGTCTTTCTTTTTTTTTTTTTTCTTTTTTTTTTTTTTTTCGGTGGACCTTTTCCCATCCATTCCACTTATATTCGGGGGTGAGTTTGAAGTCACCATTAAAATAATGATTCAATGATCGTTCTTTGTCTCTACTTGACATTGCCGGTGTACTCTTTTGATTTTTCGTCGATGATCCTGACGATCCAACAAACATACTTAGATTCTGCCCCGTAGCTAGAGGCAAGGGAGAAGAGAATACCACCTCCTTATCTCCGCAAGAAGAGGGCAAAGGCTCCTGTGATGGGATCCAGGTTGGAACTGCAACTTGCTCATTTGACGTTGCTATTGCCTCTCCTCCTGAGTTCCCTTTTTGTGGTTTGGTACCCTTGCAGTCCTGACCAAGTGATCGATGCTTAAACAGAACCAGCATCTGATTGAGAGATTTCAATAGTCCATTATAATCACCGAGACAGAGCCTATCAAGTCATTTGTAACTGAAAGCAAGGTCCTCCACCCGACTCCAGCTTCCATAGCCACATAATAACGCTAATCTGCCAAGCTTGCATTTCGGGTGTCACTGCCGAAGAAGACTCCGAGGCCTTCCGCAATTGGCGAGGCTACTTTCATAAATTTTCCCATGATAGACCTTAATGTGACCCAAGTCGGGACTCTAAGGCCTCTTGGCCTGGCCTCCATGTTTGGAGAATACATGTGCCCCACCTTGATCTATGCGGAGTGTGCATAAGCATTTTCTCGGTGGTTGGTTGATAAGGGCAAAGGATCTGAAAGAAACCCTGCCCCAGGTCCCTCCCTAATGCTACCGAGTCACCTACCTGCATTTTAATAGAATCAAGCCATTTAGCCAAGACAAGAGGAGGCTGCTTACCCCCAACAAAATTGCCACGATAAGATGTTTTTGGAGGTGTTCAATCTCCTGCTTCATCAACTCTTGGTCGACTTGGACCGCAAGTGCATCGATGTGTAGTAAGTAACCCGTATTGCTCTTGGTGTTGCCAACAGGAAGCTTTTCTTCCACGGTCGGCACAGTTGGGTGTATCATGGCATGCTTACCCATGCTTGTTACCACCAACCTTGCTTGCAGTTGAAAATTGGACCAAAACGTAACTCGAACACGATGAACCTGTGGTCCGCTACGGAAAGTCGCAGTGCTGGCGCACTGGCGCCTCCGGAGCTTCATCGCGTCCCCCCATGACAATTGCGAGTTTTCCGGGTCGGCTACCTCATTGTCACTTGTTTCCACTGAAACACCACCAGCCGGATTTGTTGTTGACATCATTGTTAGAAGGACAAGAGGATGTTGATTTGCTTCCTCGTGATGTGGTAAGAATTTGGCAACATTAAAGGACCACAACACAAGCATTTAAGAGCTTTATTCAGGAGTCCTCGGGGACAGTTCAGATGGCATTAATGGCCTCTCACATGGACGCGCCGGACGATGAGATCGTTACAGACTTGAGGGGGAGGACCCTGCAGGCCGTGCCAATGAGGCAAAGCATTTCTCCACAGCTAGGGTCGCAGGAATCACGGCTCTGGAGCTCATACCACTCCTATACCCTCTGTTGAAAGGCCTCCAATGGATGATCAGATTGAAGGAGTTGTTTATTGTTCATCATCCTCATGAATGTTATCTTAAAATCAAACTTCTATGCAGAATCTCAGAAGTTGGTGACAGAGAGGAGAACCCATGACAATTAGGTGGATGTGACCTGGAAATGAACGTGCACAACGCTTGCTGAAGAGCTGACATCATCTTAATTTTATTTTGAGAACTCCATCGGAGAAGAGAATTACATTGACACTGGAGGTCCACGATTGAAATTATTTAATATCGTAAAGAAGGTTGTTAGAGTTGTCGAGACTCAGCTACAAAGAGAAAGCAGAGTGAAACTTCACAAACCAACCCGAAAACAGTGGCGCTGCGGATTCTACACGTGTCTGGAGTGACTGTTAGGTTGTGCCCAAAAATTCTCCTAAAAATACTACCCAACGCTGACAGGAGCGGAACCAAACTGACCAGTCTTTGTGCCCTCGGATGTCACGGTTCGATGGGTTTTACGTAGGCAAAAAGTTGCGGACTTGTCAGGGAACAAGAGTCTCCATTGAACAACCAGCAAGGAAGTCGATGGTTGTACAATGATGTCTTTTGCTGAACTAAAAAAATGGGACTGCTCAAGACTTCTCAATATCGGCATAAGTGGTCTCCGTGACCTTGGCTTCTTCCTCGGCCACTTCCTTCTCGGTCTTCTTTCCCTTTTTGCACTTGTAGTACACACTCATGAAGGTGCCAACTGCTTTGTATTTCTCTCGGCACTGCTGGTACAAGGTAGGGTCGAACATGCGCCAGAAGTCGCGCTCGTTGAGCTCAGAGACTGAGTACTGGGGTTGGTAGCAGTGGTTCTCAATCATCCAAGCTTCCATCTTCTTTACGGCAGCTATACCGTCAAACTCCTCACCCTGAAATACGCATCTGGGTGTGTTGTAAACGCCGACATCAGTGTACATCTGAGCAAACGGTGTGTCGCCAGGGCGTCCAGCAAACTCGAACCCGGGCTCAGGGTTGATCTGGGTTCTCATTCGGTGCTTGAAAAGACGGTGAGGGCATAGCCAAATTGGGTACACCTGCCAAAGAGAAGGAAGCAAAACGATAGATAGCTTGAAAATTCCGCTCGTCATAATAAGTCAGAGAGAGACCGTCTGAATTCCACAAGGCCTAGTTAACCGTGCCTTGGAAAAATGTCGTTCTCGCAACAAGTCGTAAAAGCTCACCTCGAATTCACGGTCGTTGAATTCAAGAGCCATCCCCACCTTGTACGAAGGTACGAGCATATCCTGAATGACATGACGTTCATGGTAGTAGTTGCGGATAGCATCACCCTGAAAACAAACAGTAAAGTCAATGCCGATGCCAATGCCAAACTCCTACCTCAGGGTCAATACTCCGAAGCGTCACATGCACGCTCTCTTACCATAACTTATCGTGATTATGCGAGAATCATAAAATACAAGCACGGTTAACAAATGGCTCAGTTGACTGTTCTCATATACACCTGAGTTGCTTTCAAAAGGGAAACCTTCGGCGGCATCATCCATCCCATCAGTAATCGGAACCAGAATTGGTCACCGAAGGGAAGGATGAGCTTGCCCTCCCAATAAAGGCTGCGGGTGTGGCGATGGTAATAGTCTCGTGTTGGGATGTACTCAACGAATTCGCCTCTCTTCAGAGCCGTCTGTGCATGCTGGTAAAACCAAGGCTTGAACCACCGGCCTTGCTGCACCAGCACCCACGCATACGACAAATCAACGTTACAATAATATTACAAAGAGCACGGGAAATGCAGCAAATAATAAGCATTCAGAGAACCGCTGAACTTGGGAGTGAGCGAGAGAATCATCAAGACACAGATCTTACACACCCTTGGTTGGGCAACGTAAAAGTAAACGTACATTATTGATCTTGTTACCCTTTCGTTTAGCCTCTTCTTTACCCGCGTATCGACCTGACATGCACACCGCTTCTGACTCGCTATAGACCATAGATTCGACGAAGTCCGGCACTTTCTCAGGATTGTCTTGATCGCCATCTCGGGGAATGTATGTGTCATTGTAAGCCTGGGCGAGCTCCTGCAGATTGCCTCTAGCAGGACTGTATGTCAATCTCATGTAAGGGCCGACTTCAATCAACTTGATCTCAGCGGCCACCAGCAATCCCAGAGTACCCTGAGACCAGGGAATGGCGTAATACAAATCAGAGAACTCGTTATCTGCTGTTACGCGTACAAGCCGCCCATCAGCAAGAACAATCTCATAGGCGACGCAGGTGTCAGCGAAGAGACCGTAGATGTGAGAGCTTCCTTCAATTCCGTAGCCGTTAATGAGACCTCCGACTGTCAAATCGTCCAACTCGGCAACAACTGCAAGGGAAAGGCCCATCGGGATTGTCATTCGTGTGATCTGCGCCATGTTCACCAAAGGCTCAACTCGGGCAATCATGTTCTCTCTGTCAATCTCCAAAATCTGGCACATGAACAGTTACACCTGCATCATCAGCATCCCATAGTGCCCAGAAATGCTATATTCGAACTCCGCTGAAGTCGGGAATGCTGATCACAGAAGCCTCTCAAGGAAATGTATGTAGAGAGGAAGCAGAGAAAAAAAAGAAAAAAAAAGAAAAAAAAAGAAAAAAAAAAAAGGAATGAGACGACAAAACATTCTGCAGCTCTCCAAATACCAGATATTCAGACATGGATTGAAGAGACTGCAATCGATAGGTCCTAAGGACATATTCCAGCATCACCATCAAAGCTGGAGATAGAGAACATGTTAGAATTCTCGGAATGAAAAATAACAAATAAACGATTACATTTTAAAAAATTAAAAAATTAAAAATAATCTGCTCTCTCTCTCGTAAAGCTATTAAAGGAAATGCATGAAGAAGAATCGGACGTTCTATACATTGACCTTCGTCTAGGGAGTATTCAACAACAATGAAACTCCACCGAGACGAAAAGTAGCATGCAGCAGAAAATAGCATCTTCATCAAATTGCACGGACTCTGTTAATTTTCAAGACGTTGCCAACAACGTCACTCAAAAATTCAACATAGAAAGGCAACCTGGTTGAAGTCGTTGAGATCGACTTCAAAGTGGCGAGCACGCTTGTAATCCACATTCCGCATGCCTACGACGACCCAGGGCCTCCTGGCTGTGCAAACGAGGCCATCATGGGCAGGATCTCTTGACTTGAGACGCTTGATGACTTTCTCCACATTCTCGTCGTGCTCCTTCTGACGCTTCTTCTCCGACTTCCACGCCGACCATAGTTCTCGGGACCTTGCACAGATGGCGAAGCTCACGGAAACGGGGAGCACCACGAAGATAACGAGAATCCACCGCAACTTCACAGCCCAGTCCACCCAGGACCTGGCCTTCTTGGGCCGCAAGGGCTTCCTGAGGTCAGACATTGCACAATCCTGCAGCCAGCACCACTGCAACCGAAATTGAAATTTTATCTCAAAAACCGTCGATCATCTCAACAGAAAGAAAAGCTCAATTACACGTCAAGAACTCCCAAGCACCACCCCAACATGAAAGGAAACGAAAGTCATACAGTGCACCCGCAGCTGTTTTAACAGCCGATTGAGGCGAAATTTGCACCAAAAGACGCCGAATAAAAGCCTGCAGAATGGTGCGCGGCAATGTGTAGGCTGTGGCGACTGGGCGAGGGGGTAGAAACTGATCCCCGTGAGGCCGAATCGAGCGTCGTCGTCGCATTGCGTCGCAGTCGCCGAGGCCCTGGCGTCGCCGTAAGCTGGGTTCGCCGGGACGACTGGACCTGCCGCTCTCGCCCCGCCCGGCCTCCCTCCATCCCCCTTGGCCCGGCCCAGCCCGCGCCCGTCCGCCCATCGGAGACTGTGAAAGAGGTTGTATGACAAGCGGCGGCTGATACCTTCACTGAGTTGGAACAAGTCAAATTACAGCGTGAATATTTTCATAACCAAACATTGCTATATATATATATATATATATATACGTACGTACGTACGTATGAGTGTTTAAACCCATTGGCTTTGCCAACTTTGAGTACATTTTTGGTTTAAATAAATTTTGTCCACTAAATACACAAAAAGTTCACAAATATAAAAATTTCATAACATTTCATAAACTGTGAGTTTATCAAGAGCCTGCATGGATTTTCAGAAGCTTGCATAATATGTTCATGTTTGGGTGCTAATGCAAACCAAAAAAAGGTTAAAAATAAAATAAAAATAAAAATAAAAAATTACAAGGTTGACTAATAGCTAACATGAAGTTGCAATGAAGTCAAATGAAGTTGCAATAAAGAGCTTTTGCAGAAGTAATAATTGCAATGAAGGTGAATGAAGTTTCAATAAAGGTGAATAAAGTTGCAAAGAAGGTGAGTAAAGTTGCAAAGAAGGTGAATGAAATTGCAATGAAGGTGAATGAAGTTTCAATAAAGGTGAATAAAGTTGCAAAGAAGGTGAGTAAAGTTGCAAAGAAGGTGAATGAAATTGCAATGAAGGTGAATGAAGTTGTGAAGTTTTTTGATACCATGTGGCCAATTTGTAATTAAATATTAAAAAATTTATATACATGAAAACACAATATACCTCAATAGTCAATTAGTGCCCCTTACTGCAATAAAAATAAAGTTAAGTAGACTGTATAGTGTCAATGAGTAATTTGAAATTGTTTATGTAATTGAAATGACATCATCTCAGTTAGATGATTAATTTCAAATTATTCTTTGATGCTACACAATTTATATAATTTTTTTTTGTATAAGATTAAACTCATTTATTTTGCATTTATAATCAATCATTTAAACTTTTAAACAATTTTATATAAAAGACACAAAATACAAAACAAGAAAAATGTAAAACAACAAAATACAAAATAGAAAAACATCAAAAATATTAAATAGTAAAATATAAAATAGAAAAATATAAAACAACACAATCTTTGTTGTTTTGCCACACAATCTATTAATGTTGTATTATTTTGCCATATAATTCTTTGTTGATTGCTTTGGTTTTATACCACTATTATATTATAGTAGCAATTATGGTAGCCATTTTAGGCTTAGTGCCAAGGATTTTCAACCTTTTAAACCATTGTAAGTCCTTACATCTCAACCAATGCCATCTCAAGAATTCATTACACACTACATTTATTGTCTATTATTCAAGCAAACAACTTACAAACACTGGATTTAAATTGCTTACATGTAATAATTCCACATACAATTGCTCTTGAGTGAAAAAAAGGTGTAGTAGATAGAGACCACAATGCTTATAGTTTATCATTGTACTTTATTTATGGTCATTGCAAACACAAGCTAAAGAGGAAACTACCTATGCATAAGTGTAAATGGCCAATTCATGGTACTTTTTGGAGTTGTAATTTTAGATATAGTTATTAAATTTTTAATATCAATGCCTATGCTAATTTGTACAACAATAAATTAAAAGGCAAGTCATTAAACAATCATGTGCATTTCATTAGAAAGACCACCTATTTGATCTAAATTGCACAAAAATATCATAGGAATTTTAATTTTCAATGCTAAATAGTAATGAAACACTCACAGCCATAATAATGTTCAAAAACTTGGCTTCTTATGTTATTAATTAATTATACTAATGAGCAATAGTGTCCACCAATAAAACATGTATTCATAGCTTGGAATAAGGTTCTCAATGATAGCATTATTTTTATTGATCAAGATGTTTTTTGGCATCAAAATGGTCCATCCATCCATGTATTCTTTTGTCATATAATATGAAACAAAAGAAAAAAATATGTCATTAATGAAGATTTTTAGTGTAATAGAGTATTTAATTTTTATAAATAATGCAATCACTTAACCAACTATTGGCAGTGCATTTCCCTCCATAATACTATGTGATCCATATATACCAAATGCATGACCATTCACCATAGCAAGTAGACATTTAGCAAATAGTTGTAAGACCAAATCATTTCAAAGTTGTGTTTTCCTGGTAAGGGTAAGTTTGGTCATTGTTGCCTATAAGTATAACCAATAAAGTGATGTAGTGTCAATAGGTAATTAAGCTACATAAGATCATAAGAACATATTGCCAAAAGTTGCTACCAAAGATTATCATTTTTCCACCAAAAATAATATCTAAAGTCTCCATTAGCTCACATAAGGAGCAATCTATAATTTTTGTTATATTGTATACAAACATTTTATCCAAGTCTCTATAACCATGAAGATATTGCATAATATTAAAGATATTGATAACTACATAGATTTGTATCACAACTATATATATATATATATATATAAATAAGAAGTCTTAGATAGAAAGAAAATGCATGTAGATTTGATATTATCTTGTAACAAAGCTCATTTGAAATTTCATAGACATGTATTTGATTTTATACATGTTTATAGTTGATTGGTACATTAGAAACTTAGCCAACAAATTAGCCATGTGTCGCACATGTGAATAGCTTATAGTACAAGCTAACAATATGGTACACATATAAGAAACTTGCCTTGTAAGTTAAGACATGTGTTTAACAAATTAAACATGTATTAGAGGTCATACAAAATGTTGCCACATAGCTCCTAATTAGATAATGTATAGAGGAAAAAATAAAGTCTTTTTCACTCTTATCAATACTTTTTTATTCTTTAATCTTATTTGAAGACTTTCTAGTATTCTTGTCTTTAATAATAAGTATTTTAGTTTAATATTATATCATCTTTGAGTGATTTTTCAATCTTTTTGAATGACACAAGAGTCTATTGGTCTTTTAAGTTCTTCAAGATTTAAGTACTTGATAGTTTGACAAAAATTCTAACTTGTTGTTTTTTTTATTTTAAAAATGAATAGATTATCATACTTCTATTGTTATATTTTGAAGATTATAGACTATCTTTAAACTATCTTTTAGTTTTTTAAATATTAATTATTTTTCTTTAAAAAAGTAGATTACTCTTCTTCATAGAAATTTTTATTTAATATTTGAGGTTGCGGATTATCTTCTTTTAATTTGACTTATAAAATTATTTAATTTTTCTATAAAAAATATATATATAGATGCTACTTACGGCAAAAGTGAAAATAGATTTGCAACTATTGCAATCTTCTTGAGCTTCTCAATACTCTTAGAATTGAAATCTTATATATTTCTAGTATGAACCATGGAATGTGAGCCATTGAATTGACTCACTTTGATATTTAGTATAAAAATGAACTTATTGTGCTTTAAACACAAATTTTATGAGTTAATATTAGAATTTTAGAAAAAAATAGAAAATAAATTACTAGTAGCGGACATACAATCTAGGATAGAGTTTAGTAAGAAGAAACTATAAAGACTATATTTTTCTAGTTAGCTAATAGTAGAAGAATTACAAAGGAAGTAGTCTTGGTGTCAAAAAAAAAAAAAAAAAAAAAAAAAAAAAACTAATGAGGTTAAATTATGATGGATTTGGAGATTTTTTCCAAATTCAACAAATCCAAGTGGCAAAATGATTCTTCTAAATTATGGAAGCCTTTCAAATGCAATGGAGGTATCAAATGTACCATGTGGAGTAAAAAAAAAAAGATCAGCATCCTTTCCTTCAAAGTACAAATAGAGAAATGAAATTCTCATTTTTTGAAGAATTTTACAAATATTACCTAAATCCTTGTAAGTAAAAAACCTTCATAAAAGTTGCAAAGGAGCATAGATTGAAACATGTGAGTAGTCAATCTTAGCATAAAAAGATATTTTAAACACAATGGTTAAGTTAGATTTATCAAAAAGCATTTTTTTTCCCACTTACAAGAGCCATCAACCTTGGTTACGAAATTAGCTCTTAGATGAAGGAAGGCCATAGATCTACATTAGGGAACTTAGAGATCAAGGGTGGAGATGTGGCTGCCCTTCCAAAAGCCACCACTCAATTGTATAAGAGTGGTTTGGTTTCCCAAGTCTCTCTCTCTCTTTCTTTTGATGAAGGAGAAGCTATGCCAACGTGTGGTCTCAACCTTAGCCCTAATCTTATTTTTTTGCTTATTTCTTGATCTTAGATCTCATTGTGAACTTTAAGAACATATGAGCATTGATTTTGTGTTGTGGGTGGTGGTTGTTGTGGTTTGAAAGGCACCCGTTTGCAATCAGTGGTTACTAACCATTTCCATAGTTAAAAGGGTTTGAAGGGCCTCTGATTTCCTTCAATCAGTCTGTGGTTTTTTATGATTTGTAAGTGAAGATTTTTCATCACTTAGCCATTGTTATTAGCTTTCCAACGAGCTAAGGCCTGCTCAATTTGGAGTTGAACTAAATTTTTGGTAAATTTTTGAATACAAAGAGAGTGGCTGCCTTGACAATGTCAATAACCCAACTTTGAAAAGGCATTCCTCAGTTCCACTTAATGGGATAATTTTAAAATTTTAGAAGTACAAGCATCTTTAAGCTAAGCTTTCATTGTTGAAATTTTTGTTGTGGTGGAAATTCAATTCATCACCAAGTTGAATTTCCACCACAACAAAAATCACTGGATTTGGAGCTAATTAGGATTTTTGGCAAATTTTGGAATAAAAAGGGGGTGCTTCCCTCAATCCTTTGGCATTGTCAAGGTATTTCCACTTATACCTCTCTTTATTTATTTTTTCTTCTATTTTCTTTTCTTTTATTTTTTACAATAACTTGTAACTTCTATATTCATTATTGGCTTTAATTTTTAACTTTTAATCTTTTTCTTTTTACTTTTACTTTTAATTT